CCACCGCCTCCGGGATAGCCGCCGCCGCCTCCAGGGTAGCCGCCCCCTCCGCCGCCGGGGTAGCCTCCGCCGCCGCCTCCGCACTTCTTGCAACCTCCGCGTTTGCGCCGCAGCAGAGTGCCCAAGGTCAGCCCCTGTGCCGTCTCCTCACCTGCGCCACAAGAAACAAACACTTCACTCGCCGCCGCCTCTCCACCGGGAGCTCTTTGTAATCTCACTGGTCCTTTGAAACTCATTGATAAGTACGCGAATCGCTTAGCGAACGGACCCATCTGAGAAGTTTCAAACGGCCAGTGGAATTCGGTCGGACTAATTCACGAATGAAAGTTATAAATCGATTTATCTCATATAAACATTTTAAAAAGAGCAAAAAATATTTATTGGTGGGCTCTTTCAGGTGGTGTATTGCTTACTGCAGTTTCCGTCTTGGAAGATTTTTTTATTTATTTTCCAAAACAGTTGAACACTCACGTGTATTTTTCGATTTTAGGAAACTGTGATTGGTGATAATATTTTATTATAATGTGCTATTGGACGGATTAAAAGTAATAACTCATGAGTGCAATAATCGAGGAAATAATGTGAAGGGAAGCCAATACGTACCTTTGAGATCGAACTGTGAGTTGTTCATTTTCAAAAAATTCATTTTCAGAAAATATTTTCAAAAATCACTAACATTTCGGAAAAAACTCTACACGAAATTTGGAAATGATCTAAAATTGCACACTAGATTAAACAGAGAAATAAATATGTAACTTCAATATTACAAGTGTATGATACGTTCGAAATTTGTTTTTTCGTCATTTAAACTCAAAATTACGCAAAAACTGCTCATATTACGGAGACATTCTGCATGGCCTTAGTTAAATACCTGTTTATGAGGAACTAATTTCATTAAGAAAGCTGGTGTTGCTAAAACGGTACATACGTTAGTGCATTGCCCATAACTTTTGAAATATTCATAAATTCAGACTTCAACAAGACATAGATCTGTGCCGCTTTTCTACGCGTGTCTACCGAAAAAAAAATTAAAAATAACTGAAGATGCTACTGAATGGCACAGACTTTCTCAAACTAATTATTTTCGAATTTCTTTGCACTCTGTTAGCTTTTCGGTTTTGCGTCACCCTCTTCCCAGCTGCCATGTATCGTCCTCAAACTCGATTGTTTTAGTTTTTTCAATTTTTCTTTCCCTCAATGATAGAAATGAAACATGACATTAAGAATGTTATAGAAGAGCTAAGTCTCGTTCCATATGTAAATTTTCGTTGAAAACGTTTTAGTCGCTTTTTAGAAAAAGTAATGCGAGTGTTTCTGAAAATGCTCATTTTGAAGTTCATTTCAACCCAAAACGTTTTATTTTTTGAGAAACTTCATAAGAAATTATTTGAAGTAGTTGTATGCATAATTATAATAATGTATATAAATCTCAGTTAATGTAAATATTAACAGCGTGAAAAATATTTTTAAAAAATGATGGGTAATTTTAAAAAAACAAAAGAATACAAGAAAATGACTTTGGTTTCATGTTATTTAGTCCTCATAGTATTATCCGATTAAGAAATTTTAAAAAAAATGGAACCGTTTTCGAGAAAATAAAGTTTGAGCGAGCACATTTTTACAGAAAACATTGTTTTATTCGAGAAACATTATAAATCATCTATTAAAGCACATGTACTCATAAATAATTTGTATATATATACACATCTCCGGTAATGTAAATATTAACGAAACTACCAAAACCACCAACAAAACACTGATGTAGGACGCTTGGGAAATAAACCAAAGCAAACTCAAACTGACCAAAATAATGCTCATATGTTGCAAACCAGGGCAAAAAAAAAGCCTGGGAAGATACGAGAATGGGGGGGGGGTGTCAAGGATAGGATGGATGGACTAATGGATCAAATTAGAAAGGCAGAAAGAAGAAAAGAGTGACCGAGAGGCCTCTGCAAAGACACCTGGGAAGACCCTCGCCGTCGCTGGATAATGAGGGGGGGTAACAGGGCGCTCGAGCGTGCACAACGAATACGGAAATATCTTGCAACATCATCTGACAATGAGAGCCTCGCCTCACCACACAATCCTACTAATAGTTTTTCTATTTGAATCGTCGCAAGCCACCACAATACGAAAGCCATTCAAGTTATCCGAAAGCTCTACATTGCAGATTCCAAATGCAATTCGCATTTGCACTTTTCCCTCCAAGGGCCGTCTCCTTCATCAAGTTCTCAGAGCAAAACAAAGTAAACACAGATGAATCAATACGATATTAATGAGCTCAAAGTTTCGTAATATTATTGAACGCAACTGTTAATTGTCAACTCCGTCTACCAGATTATGTTTCAATCTTTCCTTGTGAATGCTGGGCTATTATTTTTAGAACTTCATTCAAATCACCAAATCCCCATAAACTCAGAAATTACACCTTTTCGGATTCTCTATTAGTATTTATTTCCGTTCAAACGGGCAACCTACGACATCTTTAATCCAAGTTTAAGAGCGTATTTTTCTTTCTCGCCCAAAATGCCAATAGTTTCGAAAATTTTTGATTTCCAGTAATTGAAAACCTTCACTTTTTTGTAATGGTTACAATTTTTTAGCTTTTTTATAACTGCATAAATGTCTGATTGCGGATAATATTTTCTTGTGCCATAGATAGCTGTGAATGCATTTCCATAATTTGTTGACTTTTCAACATATTCTAATGATAATCTAATGATAAAAAAGAGAAGGTAGTTTGTAATTTATTATTAGATGTTCTGTAGATTTATATTAGAAAACATGATCGTCTTCATTAAAAAATTATTTAAGTAATCGGAGATTGATCTTCACCTACTGAACAGTTGTCGGATCACAGTGGTCTACTGACACCTCAAGCTGTCGCCACTAGCTGAATTTGTTTATTACACTCCGTGAAGTCACAGGGATTAAAGGAATTCGATACCTCGCGGGTTCCTGGATAGGTGACCTACTAGAAACCTGGATCTCACTACGCCAATTCCCTGGACGAAGGGATAAAAGACACAGACTGACAAGAGTTGACTGATAATGGAGGATTACGCCGATGCAGGTGCTCTAACGCTCCAAACACGATTCAGAGACGCCTTGTGTAAAAAAAAGATACAATTTTTTTTAAAATCTCCCCTTAAAATATCATCGGCCCGCAAGTGGTCGATATTGATCCTTTTCTCGTGCGTGTCCGCATTAGGGATTTCACATGCACTATAATACATGTTTTTAAGACCGACGTTCAAAACACATCGCTCCCATTTCTAAAAAAAACTGAATGTTTGGAAAACATGAACCGCGCAAATGGTGACCTGAGCCCGCTGGCGCCAAGGGGAGAGAAGGGTCGAGCGCTCACCTGCCGCGTCCGCCACCAGCGCCACCAGCGCCATCAGCGCCAGCCCCGCTGCCTGGAGCGTCCTCATGGCGGCCGCTCTGCTGCTTTGCTTGTGCCTGTGCGCTGGGTGCAAACATCCGCGCTCTATGCACCCGCCTCCGCGCCCCCAGCCCCCGCCCGCCCCCGCCCCCGCCCCGCCACCCGCTTCGCAGAAGAGCGGCATACTCGGGAAGCGCGGCCCATCCCCGCCCACAGCCAGCCTCCCGAACGATCATTCCCGCCGCAAACAAACCAAAGCGAAGAAAGCCAACGCCGCCACGCGCCGCTCGTGCTTTGTTTCCTTCGTGATATTTCTACTTCCAATAGACTTTTTGCTTGCCTCTTCTCCCCTTCGAGAATTACACTGCGAAACTACGGCAGGTAGCCGTCAATTGTAGCCTTCAATAAACAAACTCACACACGCTTACCCCGAGTTCCGTATCACGATGCGCAACCTATTTCGGATGCATGACATCATCTGATCGTCCACTGGTCGAATCACCAATCCCTAATCGTTGATTCATTTTATTTTAATTCATTTTATATTTTGTTTCATTTTATTTTATTTTTCAAAAGAAAAAGTAGTTACGTATTAAAGAGGATTCGTATTTAAACGCCGTATTGAATATGACAGAACAGACCGAGAATTTTACGAAACGATCTCAAATTGCTTTGTAGCTAACATTCGTAAGTCGGCAAAGTTCATTCAACAATAAGATCCGAGTAGACAGAAAAGAGTGCATGTGAGACCCTTCCGTAACTTTTTCATGCTCTTTTATGCCGGTTATCCCAGCACGAACCACAAGGGCCTCCTGGGATTCACAGCAAATACTCCCCTATACCGGATCTCTACCGCTTCTCGGAGATTCTCTCGATTGCTCTGGAGAGCCATTCGAGGAAACGTGATTGGTCCTAAGTACGCGGATTGAGAATAGTCAAGAGTAGGAGGAAAACGCACTGTCTGTATTCCTCTGTCCGACAGTGCCGAGCGGGCATTCACCTGGAAAGGCTCAATTGATTGATTGATTGACTGTGATTCCGGGGGCTTGAACTGCTAAGGTCATTAGTTCCGTAAGTAAATAGTGCATGCTTTTATCGCAGGCGATGGCTATGATCTTCGCCTGCGGGATGGCGAGATACGGCGCCGACCTACACGTCAGCTAGAGGAGTTTCCCCCATCCAGGTATCGCCCGCAGAGAGACACTGCCCAGCCGGGACACGCTCTCAGCACCCCATAGTCCCCTGACAATTGTGATAGTATGGTGTTTGTAAGTGTGTGTAAGGGGTGAGGATAGGACAGGAAAGGGGAAGGAAAGATCAAGCGCGGTCCCTCGCCCTTTTGTTAAAGTACTGATCCGGCCTAGCCTGGAGGCATTCGATCGGAGAAACAAGGTAAAACTATTGATTGGAGCAGCCGGCCGCTTGAATTCTCCTCCAGGCAGAGGATGAATTTCACCTAGCTCTCTAGCTAATGCTATCTACCGAGATATCTAGCTAGATAGCTATCTAGCAAGAAATTCCTGCCACCTAGGACATTCCGATGAGAGGCACCGCAGTGACATCAATGCTGCACTGAGACACCTAAGACGGTCTGACCGTTTAAATCATTTCATTTAAGACAAAAGTATCCATCTTCCTTACTGCCATTTTGCAATCATAACTTTATGCAATTTTCAAAAATGCAGAGTTCGCTGAAAATGTGCGTGTGTGTGTAATTTGCAATTTTAAAGAAAAAAATAATGTATGTCCGTAAAGTAACGTATGTCGGAACGTATGCTTCTTTTTGTTGTAACTTGTGAAATATATTGCTTTATGTACTCAAAACTGCATTTGATGTTTTATGCTGTGTAAAAGAATTCATTTACAATATAAAATTCCTTATATACTGCTGATTTAGGAAAGAAGACTTTTTTCTCACTTCCCACAAATTGTTTTGTCTAATGCTGGTTTTCCGAGAAGCCCTAAAATATTGGAAAAATTCGGTTGGACGGTTTAGACGCTAGTATAGACCACTTCAAGACAGATAGACGGACACACCGACGTTTTTCCAACGCGTTTTCAGTATCAAGGATCCACAAAACATGGATTCTGGTTACACAAAGTGTTGGAGGCAGTAGTTTATTGTATATAGGACTATGCAGAGGATTATCCACTTTTTCGTTACCAGGCCTCCACAATAAGAGTTTTTTCTGTCGAAAATTCGCTGTTTCCCAGCGCACTATTAGAATACTTTCTCTTCTTACGAAGTAAGGGCGAGAAAGAAAATATTGATTGATGGCTAAACGTGTATCTATTCGTGGTCGACACTCGCGCCTAAACCGTCCAGCCGATTTTCTCCAAAATTTAAGGACTTTTCAGAATAACAGCATTAGTCCAAACAATTTGTTGGTGGTGAAAAAAAGTCTATCTTCCTAACTCAGCAGAATAGAGTTTTATATTGTAAATGAATACTTTTACATTGCATGAAACATAAAATCCAGCTATAAGTATGTAAAACAATATATTTACCAAGTTACAGCAAAAAGGAACATGAACATGTAATTGCTTGCTGGTTATTTTTGCTTTAAAATCGCAGATTCCACCGATATAATATTAGCCATGATTCATTTATCAACACAAGGTACCAGAAACGTGTAAAAATAATATTAATGTATTTTACGTATTATAGTATTATTCTTTCATACAATGAAATCAACTGAACCTCCAAGAAACATTTTACAAAAGCGTTTTTATGATGATCTAAATCAGGGGTGTCCAACTTGTACGATCTTAAGGATCACAACTAAAATCTTTAATATGCGGGCCATATTTTCATTACTCGGGCTATCCACGCCTATCTTTCCGTATTGTTGATATCGGCAGTTTGCCGGCTGCTCTGAAACGGGGGGGGGGAGCCATGCATGATAACTGGCTCTGCCATGCATGTCGCAGTGAAACATAATGGATGATTTTGGATTTCTGAATTTACTAGAAACTAATCCTTAAATCTGAGCTTAACCTACTTTTATATTGCAGGGAATGTTGGCCCCGGAAGGGTGCGTGCGCTACGCGCAGTATGTTTTCGCTCGACGTGGATGAAAGGAACTTCCGTTTTCGACTAATAACACAGTGCTATAATGAAATTTGCCGCAGAACAAAAATATGTGATTGTTATGTAGTTCAGTGCCCTGATGACGGATGAAAACCAAATTTTGCTATCATCTAAACTTTCTTCTGGAAACGCAATTTTACCTGCTCTCGACTCTGATATTTATGTTGTCGCGGCACATGTATTCAGTGATTTTAGGAATATTATTGCCTAATGCTGGGAGTAGAGAGGGGAGGGGCAGATAGCCACTGGGGATAGGGAAAGGGAGGTTGCAGTTACATTAGTCAATCATAGTAAGATCACACAATATCTGTTCTTGAAGTGATAATCCATTGAAGAATATTGATACGTGAAGAATATTGTTTGCGCGTGTTTGCGTGTTTCTTGTACTACTCAGCGATGTATAGGAAGTGTGTTAATATTCACCAAATCTTTTCTGTTATGCGTGTGACGAGTTTGCGGCTAAGTCTCAAAGACACCTCAACTCTCCGATTGATAAATAAAGCGTAAGGGTTATATGTTGAATCAAAGGTAAATGAGGGTACGTGTTGGGCACTACAGAACTGTTGCTCACGTTGTTACCGCTATTTATGAGGCTGGTTGAATGGAACCCATCGATCAACGTCATTCGCCGTACCACAGTTGAGATGGGAACCTAGAGACCACATTACAGATTGCAACTTTTGTCTAACGAAAGTAACAGGAATCTCAAGTAAATCGAATCACACAGTTTCTTATCCAAATTTGGAATCTGCAATGCGCACGGTTTCTCATTCTGATTTTCTCGGAGTTCCAAAACCACTAATGGAATGGACACTGAAAGAGGCGATGATTGTGACAACATGATCAGATTATGTTGATGAATCATCATCAACAGATCATGAAGATGAAGACGATTTGATTATACGCTATCTGCAACGGCTACAATCACAGCTCGCGGACAGAATTGCCGACAGAATTGAACGATTTTGTAAGATATCTAAATCTTTAGAAGAGGCAAACAGAATTACATGGGTCTCGTCTTCAAGAAAAGAACTTGTTACTACCAAAAACTGATATTACATTCTGTAATAGACAGGCTAATCTTTCCACTTTTTTCTCCTTGACTGGGAGGTTGATATATTGTAATGACATAAATGGAACGCTTAGAAAATTTGGAGTGATTCACAATCCGGAAGAATGGCGCCTACTTATATATTCGTGAAAGAATAGTCCAAAATCTCTTCTTTTACATAAGGGAAACGAGAAACCTTCGATACCTGTGGCCCTTTCCATTCAGTTGAAGGAAACCTACGAGAACAAGAGGCCACTCTTGAAATATACAGGCTATTCAAATCACAAATGGAAAAGCTGTGGTGATCTCAAAGTTCTAGGACTTCTTCTAGGAATGCAGACTGGTTACACAAAATATTGCTATTTCTTGTGCCATTGGGATAGTAGGGCAAGGAAAGACCATTATGTAGTCAAAAAGTGCCCTTTAAGGGAAATGTTCAATCCTGGTGAAAAATGTGTCGCATGAACCACTTGTTGACAAAGACAGCATACTGTTACCACCATTTTATCAGAAATTAGGCTTAATGAAAAATTTTGTGAAAGTAATGGACAAAGATCGCCAGGATTTCCAATTTTTACTGTCTACGTTTCTGCGATTAGTACTGTAAAAATTAAAGAAGTAATTTTCATTAGGCCGCAGATTCGTGACTTTATGAAAGATATTACCTTTGCATAGTTGCTGACAGACAATGAGAAGGCAGCTTGATTTGCATTAAAAGATGAATGCCACAATTTCCTGGGAAACGTAATGTCAGAGAATTACAGGGAACTAATGAAACACATGCTGGACTGTTACAAGGATATGGAATACAGCATGTCTCTGAACTTACATTTCCTTCATTCCCATCTGGATTTATTTCCACCTGATCTTGGATATGTGACTGACGAACATTGCTAGAGATTTTAGTAAGATATTGCTGCACTGGAAAGACCATATAAGGGAGAATGGTCACCAAATATTTTGGTGGATTACTGCTGGACATTCCTATAAGTAGTTTCATCACCCACCCACAAACAAAAATTTCCAGGAAAAGTTTCTAATT